ATCTGAGCCAACACAGAGAACGATAAAGCATTTTTCCCCCATCACTCCTCAAATGCAGCTTTCTCTGAAGCATTTTTTGCATGCCTTCTGACTGGCCTGCTGGAGTCGGCTGGTTCTCACGGTGAGGCCCGTGCACACGTGTTTATGTGTGTGTGTGTGTGTTTAGGCTTAGAGGTTGTAGCTGCAGGTCGGGAAGCAAAACCAAAGAACAACAACCCAACACAGCTGTAGAAACAGTAACCTGAGCCTCACAGAGACGGAGAAGACCAAGGAATCGATTTGCATCCCAGCGGCAACAATGCCGGAGCACACAATGCCATGATGCGGTGTGGGTGACCACAATGACCACTAAGTAGCCCGTATCAACGTCCCAGCTTTAAAAAGAAGACTGCTAAGACTGATAAGATAAGATACAGCCTCCTGGCATGCCGTGCCATTCACAACAACTCCACAAACTGTCAATTCTGAGTCGGAAACTTTTCAGATGCTGAGTTATATTTTCTGTGTCACGCACGGAAATGCCAGAGCTCCTGCTGGGAGGTGGTCACTGTCAGGGGAGAAAAATCAATGCGGCTGTCAAAGGCAAACGTAAATTGTTGCAATAAAACACACACATATTGAATTAGAATATAAATTGATGTGTGTTCATAGGAAAATCCTTTAGGCCTGAGCTGTGGTTAGTGACTGTCAATGTGAGGGGAAAAAAGCAACACATTCACAGCTCGAAGAGACAGACTGACATTTGGAGATCTAGTTTCAACAGATATAGATAGGAAGTTGCCAGGATGTGAGAGTGGAGTGTTTTTTTGTTTTCTTTTTGTGGGCTGTGGTTTGGTCAGGGGGGGCCTCTCAGCAGACAGATCGCTATGCTGGGAGATCAGGGTAGGGGCAGGTTTTCTTTTCAAAAGGAGCCGCCAATTCTATTCCTAAAGAGCCACGGGATTATAAAACCCAGAGTAATCCTGGAGATTTCAGGGATTAGACGTTCTGTGAGAACCTCCATCGAGCGAGGTGGCGGATGACCGTGAATCCTTCTGTTGAAGATAATGGGACTGAATTGTGACGTTTATTTGTTTTTACATCACAGAATTTGATGTAGTGTGAACCTTTTCGAAAAAGGAAAAAAAGAATAAAAAACAGGGGATAGGGTTCCTCCCAAAGTCAGCTATTTTCCATCCATTGCGAGACCGACAGAAGATGTCTTAAACATTTCCAGCCACCCACTGAATGAGCTGCATCTTAATCAAATGGGAAATCCTGGATGAAAAATCATTTACAAGGCCCTTCTCAGCAAAAGACCACCTTGTTGTAAAAACTGACCCAAACCAGCCCCAAACCAGTCAGTTTGGCGTGTGTGTGCGTCACCCTTTTTGAAAACGATTACATTTAGTCTCAAGCGTGCACACGTTATCACTAGAGGATTAGCAACGGCCACAGGTTGAAAGGGAGAGGTCAGAGCAACCCTGCAGTGGGTTAGTCTTCAAAAATCACGTTGCCTTCTTCTTATCTCTGTGGACACATTGCAAACAGTGGAGATAAACATTGCAAACTGCTGGGCCTGCATGTTTGTTTGGTGGATCTCCTACTTTGAGCTGATAAAACTATCAGAGAGGTGTCTGGAGCAAAGTTACAGCTAATCTCGCCGTTCGCCGTCTGAAAATGACATCTTTTCAACTTATTTTGGCACGGTCACTTACTTGAATGTCACCACTGTACATGAACATGACACAGTTTCATTTTTACCACCGCTGGGTTTATTTTGCTCTAAATGTACGGGTAATAGTGTTTTCCTAATCCAATTAGACATAACTATAAAACAAACCATGTTTGTTTACTGAGATTCAATTACCCACCAAATTAGATATAAAATACTGTCAATTGTAAAATTACATGTGCAAGGTGTTCATACTATGTAAATAAATATGACCTCAGATGAACACTCTGTCATGTTGATTTAGAGAAAACTACAGTAAATGTACCAGCAGCCTTGGCAGCAATAACCCCGGATTGTAGCACATATAATTTGGAATTTTGATAACAGCCAGAAAAGACATCACCCCCTGAAAAACAATATGTGTAAAGTGAATGAGTGTCCATTTTGACAGGTGGACTGGTTGGCAGTAGCAGTTTGTTTCTCTAATATCCCTGCTCTGGTCTTTATATACAGTAGTTGTGTTTGTGTGAACACTTTTCCCACACACGTTTCCACCCATTTGTCTGAAGCAGGTGTGGCAGTCGCAGGTAAGGCTCTGAACAGTGTATTTGTGAGCTCATCTTTTCTCCCACAGGTCGGTGTCCAGATGGGGCTGCTTCTGTTGCTGCTGGAGTGTGTGACTCACCCAGTCTGCCGAGGCGCCCGCCACAAGTTTGTCATACCTGAGTGCTACCAGACATGCCTGACTGTCTGAAGGATCCCTTCTGAGAGGGGTCTACTTTCCTCTTTGCTTCCACAGCCATAATTTCATGCGTGAATCTTTTCTCTGACCTACTTTTGAACCCATATTTTACAGACAAAACACGTCTGCAGGGAGAAGACAAAGAAATGCTGAAAGCGGGTTTATCTCTGACCAATATAATTTTATAATGTCAACAAACTCAAGACCTTGAGCTTTAATCCTGAAAATAAACACCCACTTATCTGACAAAGAGCCACCACAGACGTAAGATATGCAACACATTTAACGCAGATCAATTAACTGCTTTCATAAAACCTTTTTAAGCATGGCGCGTCCATAAAGAAACACATGTTTGAATGTGTGTGAAGGGTTGAGAACGTGTCTACACAAAGTACAAATGCACTTTTAATGATTTTTGTGCTTTACAGAGCGAATAAACGTAGTTTTGGTTTACAATTAAATTAGGAGCACAAAGTGCTCATTTAAAAGAGTTTAAACTGGGATTTGGTACATTTTAGTCTTTGTTGCCTGAACTTAATTATCATGCAGGACTGCCAGACATAATCGTGACAACAAAAGAAAACCCACCGCAAAATACAGTCCTGAATGTGAGTGGGATTAACCTGTTATCTCCTCCAACCATCTCCTGTCCAGATGTGCCAGCACAGAGCATGACAAGCACTGCGGGCTTTGAGCAGCAATTAACACATGCTCTTACATCTCTGTGGGCTGCCTCTTTCTTTTTTCTCTGACATAATTACAGTTTATGGAACAAAGACTGGAGCAACGTGTGAGGTTAATGTTGTTCATCAGCGGCAGAAAAAGAAAACGCTGTTTCTGTTAACCGAAAGAGGAGATGTGGGGCAGCCACACACCTGTGAGAAAAGGCTGGGGGTGATGTGTGTGTGATTGCGTATGAGTCTGCCACAGTGTATTGGATGGAATGCTTTTAGTGTTGTAGAAGTGCAATTTTTTCTTTGTTGTCATCACATTCAAAGATGCAACACGTTCCATCAAAAATGGAATAAGGGAAAGACAAAGCAAACACTTACTCCTTGTCTCCGAGTTTATAATTAGAAACAAGGTGTCCAGTTGGTCAGTGGGTTGCAAATTGGGGTGATAAGTATCACCACAACCCACACACTGCAAACAGGAGCCAAGGAAAAGGTAGAGCTACTGGTGGGGAATTCAGAGTAAGCTTTAACTGGGCTGGGTTGTTCTTACCTCAGCGGATTGTGCGATGGGCCCTTGAGCCATTTTAATTTCATACCCCTCAAGATTTTCTTAGATCAAAGGAATCTGTTATTGCGCAAAAAACTTAGAAAATTGTTGTACGTGATCTAAGTAAAAACCCTAAAACATCTCCAAATAGCCTCATTTCATCTCTGCCTGAGAAACATAGAAAAACATGTTTTTTCCACTGCTCATCAGGGAGCATATGGAATGAAACTGCTTTGCGTTTTACCTAGTTTTGTTTCTGCCTGTGCAAATGGCTATCCGCTTTTCAGTTCCTGATGCTTTCATGCTCTACAAAACACGTCCACTGAGCATTACTGACTCTGTGTTAAAAGACTGCTAAAAAAAACCCAGAGCACACAGCATTGTGGAACTGATTCTCAGAAGGCCATGTTTTATGTTGGAGAAATCTAAACTCGAGATCATGAAATCGGAGGAGTAGGAGAGGGCTAAACTGACTCAAAGTGAGACAGGAACCTGTGTGGAAGCTGGACAGAACTGCTGAGTTTCACAGCATCTGTCATCTGACTGTCACTGGAAACACATGGAAGTGGCAAATTGAGGGTGGACAGCTCCAACACAATCTTTGGCCACATTTGCTGTAGTAATTTTCACCTTTTGGCATTGGATGCTGTCCAAATCTAATGGAAACGTCAACAAAGGTCCCAAATTGGAACGGAAGCTCTGTTTTATCTGCGGAAACATGGCACAGTTAGACAGGAAATGGGTGTTAGAATAAACAGGAAATAAAGTAGAAAAAGGAAACCAGAGATGAGGGGAAATCAGAAATATTTTTGACTGGGGAAACAAACATAATGCTGCCTGTTTTATCAAGCTTGCTTCTGTGCTGTGAAGAAAAGAGGCATTAGAAGCAAGTCAAGGATAACAAATTTAGAGATCAGAGGAGCCCTCTGCTGGTGGAAACTCTGAGTATCAGAAAGAAAAAATATCACTACAACAATGTGCCAAATGCACATAAGATAAAAACTACATTGAACAAAAACACCGCAAGATGTAGATGGATAAGAGTCAGTTAAAGCTCTCTGATTTAACAGAGAAGGAAATCAGTGCTGGAGTCCAGCGTGAGAAGTTCATCTGTTCTGTGAAACTCAGTGGAAGTCACACTATGGTTTGGGCCCATTTTGCTGCATCTGAGCCCAGATGGCTTTGCTTCATATTTGGATCGACGATCTCAGCAGAAAATCCATCATAAACAAAGTTAATTATCCAACTTCTCCATTTTTCTCCCAGGCTACACAAGTTTCTGTTGATTATCTGATTGCTTTTGTCTGAAATGAGAAAATGCATGTTGTTGGTTTTTGTTTAGTTTTTTATGCTTTAAAACTTTCAGTCTTTATTATATGATACCAGAATAAGACAAGATCATTAAAATGCCAGTCAAAACCAAAAAGAAAAAGAGATGATAGAGTCGTACGGTGCTTTTTCCCCCTAGAAATATCACGTTAAAAATCAAGATTATCAGGATCACACATTGCACATTTTAGTCTCAGTCACAGAAAATTCAAGCCACTGTTTTACCTGACATAAACGCAACAGACACACATTCATGATCCATACATTTCATATAAATATCTGAGGAAACATTATTTTGTAAATGAACACAGATTGTTACATCATGGGTTTACTGAACTGCCAGGTCTGTTTGTGGTAATCCTCTGCCCTCTGCACAGGTTAAGTGAGCTAATCCTCATCTAATCCAGCTATCACTGCCTCTAATCTCTTTATCCAGTTTCTGTGGAACTACAGATTATCTCAAGTTTGATGACAGGTATGATGATCCTTTTTCAAGGTTTGTTGAGCACTTTGAGTGAATGATTTCACCACACAACCCCAACAGACCAGTGTTACCCAAATCACCGTTAAATCTGCAGTTGTTTCACTGCTGGCTTTTAAGATGCTAAAAAAAAGGACAGATGAACATAGAGGTGCATGGTACATCCACTTAATCTCTGAGGCAAACTTTTATCAGATTACACAAACGTGTCAATCAAAAAAGGGGATTCCCTCATTTCTCTCTCTTTCTTAAATTAATGAATCATGGATAAGATTTTTTTTCTGCATGATAACAGTGTCTCTGTATTTCACATTTACTTAATCTTTGGTCCTGGACTCAAAGTGTTTCTCTAGTGTTTCTGCCAAAATTGTTTATCGTGGTTTATTGTGATAGTTTGTAAATTGAATCGAATACGAATGAACAAACGGAACTTAATGTCATAATAAAAGAGAATAAGTAGGTTTGGTTTGTTGTAACTTTTTGTGGTTGTGAACATGCCGATTGTTCAGAACATGATACGTCAGGGCATCCACAGTAAATATATACGCGGCCTCTGAACACTCCTCCATACTTCCTGACGTTGTGTATATTCTAATTGGTCTTAGCTGTGCTCTTGGTCTTCAGCTCAGCCAGTTTGCTGGTAACAAAGTTCCACTTTAAGGACGTTTCCTCGCTGCGTCCTCCCAATGAGACGTATTTAGAGAAGCTGTCGTTGCTTCTTCCGCCGTCTTCTCTCTCTTCCCCCTCCACGACCGGCCCATCCTGCCCTTCCTGGCCTGCAGCCTCAGTAATCCCCTCCTCGCCCGGCCCCACTGCCCCCTCGCTCGCGGCCGCGGCAGCAGCAGCCTCAGCCTGCTTCTTGGCGGCCCAGTTGGCTGCAAAGCTATCCCAGAATGCCGTGCGTTTGTTAGATCGAGGAGGCTCCTCAGGGGGGACTGCCAGGGGACTGAGAATTTAGAGAATTTAGAAAAAGCAATGCACGTTCATCATTAACTTTTTTACTGGATTATACTAACTGATATTAAAAACATTTCAATTCAACTGCTCATACAACTCGTAGGGAAAAATTAAGATAGCAGATAGACCTGATATCAGTCATGATCAAATAACAGGGCAATCCCCAAATATATAAAAGGAAAATGGGCAAGAGTGGGAAGTCCAGTTAATTAAGTTACACATAAATCCTCTCAAAATCCAACAAGTTTGTTATTATTTACTTTTTCTTTTTAACTTTTTCATAACTTTTAACCAAATCATCATATAGCTCCTAAAACTCCTCTGACCAAAAGTTTCAAAGACTTCCACATACTGGTCAGCGACCGGCGGACTCTCCGTTTCCTCCAGAAGTTGGTGCTCATCATCTTTGTTGAAGAGGGTCGATAATCTGTTCCAGCTTTTAGCTCCTGCTCCCTGCATCTAGACACCCACACACACAGGGTCAAAGGTCAATGCAGATTACCTGAGGGGATTTGAAACAGTGGCCCTTTTCTAATGCTTGGAGACAAAGATCCACACCCATTATATTTCATTAAGATAAAGTAACATTAATTGCACTACGGGGACTATTTTCGTAAAATTTCTAATGGTAAGGTGTACACAAATGTCAAAACTAATTTGTCTTTGACATTTTCTGCATGCAAATTCCCAGAAAGAAAGAGTTGTGAGGGATCACTTACTTTTCTGGCCAGTTGGGATACAGCGTTTGGCCCTTCATCTTCCTGCACCGGACTCATGTCATCGTCCACCTCGGTGACCTGCAACAGCATTAAACCTGAAGCTTTTCAATCATTCCCTCAATGAAGATTTGTACGCAAAGATCGCCATCTAGTGGAAAATACAGGCACTAGAAAAGCTGTAGAAGCTCCAACTAGGAAAATTAAGTGTTGGGGAAAGACAACATGACTGGCTTTAGTACTGAAACATTAAATCTGAATCAGCATGTGCATTATTACATGATAATGTTGTTTTTCTTGATCTCACAGTTCCCGCAAGCATGCTCAGCACTCCAAACACACACAGAACTTTCCATCATCTGTGCAGAAGTGCTGGCATTGAGAGGGGCCACAGGGCAGAAGACGTCAGCTGCCTGATCCAAGGCACCCCGAGGACGTCGCTATCTGTCTCCCTGTCAGTCAGTCACTCCAAGGCCAACTAATCTGTTTGCTCAGCTCCCGTGCAGGATCAGGTTTCTCTGCTCTACACAGATCTGGGTCAACGCAGCCCTGCCTATTTGACTGTTCCTTAATGGAGTGTAGGTCCTCTTATGGAGTGTTGATTACCATTGGAATTTTTTGGAAAAATGTAGAGTAAAACGTATCGACAACAAAATACTCAAGACCTGCATCCAACAGCCTATTCGGGTTAATTAATTCATTAACATACCTGAACAAAACATCTTATTTGTTAGAGTTAGTTCATAAGTGGCTGTTTTTTACTACAAAGAAGTTATAGATTAGGGATTCTAGAGGTAAAAGCTTTAAACATTCTCAAGATTTACATAAAAAATGTCACGACAAACCAAACAAGTCAACTCTCTCAAATCATCTTTTATGTTGGGAAAGTTGGTCCCAACTAGGCAACAGCAGATGACCTTAAAAAGTGTTTAAAAAGAGCACTGCGGCAAATGCAGGATGTTTTTGAACTACGGGTACAAAAATGCTCACATAAAGTTGATATGAACTAATAGTTGGGGTCTAATTGTAGCTTTTTATACAGTTTTAAATCTGTTTATACTCCTTCTAAATTCGTGATGAAAGACTGAGATACTTGTCACATTTAATAGTTTCTGTGGCATTCAAGGAAAAAAAAATGATAAAAACAATCAGTATCTGTTAACTGCCCAATTATTCTTATTAATAGTGTTGGTCCGTGATTTCAAAAACCAGCTGGTTCATCAAAAATAATTTAAAACTGCTGTTTAGAGTGATTTATTGATACGTTTTTTATTCTTGGAATGAATGCAGTAAAGCATCATGAGATAGTTTAAAATGTAATTAATTTGAAATATATTTAGATATCTGTGATACACAGTTTCCCTCAAAAGTTATTAGGATCTCATGTTAGCAGAAGAGTAAGAAAAATGTTCTGTAGGCCTAACTTCTGTAACTAAGTTCCTGTCATACAAAAAGCAGCACAGCTTTGACCAATAAGACATTGACTTTCATGCACCTGATGGTTTGTCTCACACTCAGTATTTGAATAAGGAAGATAAACAGGTATGGAGAAAGTCATATTCTGTACCTCTTCAGCAGCATCCTCCTCATACTCAGGATTCAGAGTCTTCATCACTTTGCTTTTGTAAATCTTCCACACAGGATTCATGTTTGCACGAATAAATGTTCACTTAAACAATACTTAAAGGCTAAACCTGTTTTCCCTCAGTCCACCCTCCTCCAAGTCTGCACTTCCAGCTTCAGCTAGTCTCAGTTGGAGCTCAGTGGACCCCTTTCCATGCAGGACGCTCTCAGGAGATTTTAAAAGACGTGAGGAACTTGTTCAAAAGCAATTGTTCTCATACTGGTTCCCCTGCCCGGAGTACGTCAGTCTCATGGAGCCAGCGAGGTCGTCCCCACAGGAGTGTCTGCACAGGCAAAGCTGGGAAGTCGGGCTGCTCGTACCCGTGCCCACACAGGTGTACACACAGACACACACACTATAACTTCGTCATGGTTCAGAGTACCTGCCTGGGTTACCTGGAAACAGGTGTGGATTTCCTCATTCATATTTTAGAGAGTCTTTTTTCCAGAGCCAGAGGCCCATTGTCTGCCAGTGCTGGTAATTGGCTCCGGCAACCCTCATGCAGACACAACCACATACCTGGCATGTGTGTGTGTGTTGGGAACAAAAAAGTTCTCATCGTTCTATGTGGTCTTTAATACCTGAGCATAAGACTTTTTCCCCCTCTTGAAAGAGGATTTCAAAGCAGGAGCCATTTTTGGATGCCTGCTGTTCATATATGGACACTGGGCTTTAAACCATCACCCTGTGCTACCCGGCCACTTCCTTACCGGCCTCTACTCTGCGCTCATTGGCAGCTGGCCCGTGTCAGTTAAACACCAATGAGATTCAGGTGCATTGCAAGTTTTTTTTTGTGACTGCGCCGCGTGGCAACCCGAGAGGGCCGTCCGGTGTCGTGTGGATAAAGAGAGATGCATGGAGCTCTGATGACTGATTAGATTTCAACCAGCCTCTCACTACAGATATACACTGTTTTTGTGGCTCTGTTTTATCTGACATCATTAAAGAATGACAACATTTAGCATTTAGAATCAAAATAGGCATAGCTGCAGCAATCCGCTCTGACAGTGTCAGGGCACTTGTGGCTCACCAGTTTGAAGGAATGATCATAATCTTGATTATACGCAGGAGAAATTTGATTCTACGTGTCATATAGCACTCCTTTTCCTGTCTTTGATTACGATACACAATTTGACAGCGATGTAGCTGTCAGGTTGGGCAGATCCATAGGATCAGCATGAATTATTAACGCCTGTCTGTGGACGACAACCCACACACACACACTCTGATGTTCACCGGTTATTTGAACAGAGTCCAGTTTGGCTGTAAATGGAGCAGCTCAGCTGGCTTCACATCACAAAAGTCACACCCAAGAGTTTCTCAAAGTTAAAGACACAGTTAGTTGCATATGGACCTACATTTTCTGATTCAGGATTATAAGAGGAGTGTCCAGCTGGAGGAACAGTCAGAGCCAGAATTCCTGTCAGAGGTCACAGCTCACCAGGGCCACCGAGGTCCACCGTCCTTTTCCATGACGGAGGCTAAACAGGCAAAAATGACCCAAATGGAAATTCAAATGGCATTGAGGCAGCAAGATGATACTTTATGATATTTCTCTATATGCCATTTCTCATGGAAAAGATAAACATTTTGTGCATTAGTGCTTGTCTCAAACTTCTCTACTTAAAGTCCTTCATCCTTAGTTTTAGCTTCATTGTCATTGTGCCCCACAAAACAGTTAACCTGATTTATTGATATAAATTGAATAAAACTTCTTTAAGGCTAATGTGCCTCATACTTTCTTATTATCTTCTGCTGCCCGAAGATCCTGTTTGACAAACTTTAACAAACCAAACTTTGTTGTCTGGATTAATAGGATAAAACTGCAGATTACCACCAGATGGCTCACACGTTCTTCAACAATCATTCTAGCTTGTTGTGCCACATGGAGGAGCTATTTCAGTGTTCAATGTTTATCTTATCTAATCACAATTGATAAACAGAAGTTTTTATTTAGCTATTATTTCTTTTGCATAATTATTAAGAGGTAGATTATTATTTGTAACTCTTGTCTTCTCTATATTGTATGTGTTGGATTTCGGGCCAAACATTTGGGAAGAAAAAGACAAATACTTTGTCTCAGAGCAGTTTATGTCCAGACAGCATCTCAAAAGTAATCAATGTCTCCAACTTTATCAATTTCAGTGCATACATTCATAAATATAATCTCCTATGTTACAAACACGTGACAGTTACTGAGGTCAAATGAGATGGGCTATTTGATCATTAGCCGTATAAAGATATAAGCAGATATTTATGTATCTGTGCATGTTTTGACAGATTAATCCCAGATGTCATCTACTGTACAGTCGTGTGATTCATCCTTATTTGGTGGTGCTATTACTGATACCAGCCTATTTTAGCCACTGGGGGGCGACAGCAAAACAGTCCCGTCCTCCAGTGGGTTGCTTGAGGGATGTGGAACAAAATGTACAGAACACAGAGAAGGTTACCTCATCATGTGCCACGATGTCACATGCAGCTCCCGAAGTGATCAGAGACGTTTAAGAAACTGCACATCACTGTTGCTGTTGTCTTTTTGTCATTTAAAAGCACACAGTTTCTCTGGGTTTAGTGTTTTGCCGTGCCAGAGATCGCAGCTGACGGTGAGATTTTGATCTGATGAAAGCTATATCTGTATCTGAAACAGCTGAGCCCCTTTTGTCCGAGCAGACCTTTAACCTGCAGGGGGTGAAGCATTCTGCGGTGGGTGTGGATGCAGGGAGAAGATGGCAATCTCTTCAGTTGTGTCACTCAGATTAGATTCCCCTTGTCAACAAATCCTCATGAGCAGCCAGAAATACAACCGGAGGAATGTCATTAGATAAACTGGAATCTTAACACAAGTGTTAAACAGGGGCAAGCAAACAGCTTCAAACTAGTTTCATCTGTCGGGCTGCAGCAGTTCAGTTGTAAAAGGAAATCTTTGGTCCGTGATGGAGGAAGCGATCAGAAGATTGAGCCATATATGAAGAGAAAATCATACAGTAAACATAAAATAATTTCTTAGCAGCTGAATCTGAAATATGCACAAAAATACATCTGAATCATGGAAAATGGAAGTGTTTTTACTATGTACACATTGTTCCGATGTAAAAAGGAATAATTATCCAGTTACTATTAATAGAAAAACAAATTGTAGTACTAATAATGAGCACAAAAAGTTGTGAAGTTAAAGTGAAGTTAGAGTAATAACTCAATGTAGACACTCTTGAAATTGGATCTTGTTTCCTTGTAAAATCTCTAAGAATGTACTTTATTTGACATTGTGGCAAATTCTTCAATCTTTCAAGACACAACAAACCCTATTCTCACATGTAATGATCCATGTATTGTCCCGCCCAGCCTTTTTCTAGGTGTACTTTGTGCAGAGCAGAGTTGAGGAAAGGCGCTTGAGCCTGAGGCTCTTTGGACAGGACATGGGGTGGACCTTCAATAGAGAGAAAACTCAAGCAGGGGCAGGATCTTCTGAGCGTGAGGTTGCAAAGATAACTGCTGCAACAATCAAATTAGACTCTTGTATCTCTAATCTCGTTAAACCATGTTTGGTCATTTTGATTTTTTTTAAAAAGCTGTGAACTGAATGGAAAAGTAGTGCGAGCTGTTAAAAGTTGTTCTTGAGCAAGCTGCACGTTTCTGCATTACTGTCAGGGATCAGTGCAGGTGACCCCAGTGGTCATCCCCCATTACACATGACACGAGACGCCTGTGCTCGTCCTTGTTCTCGGATATCCCTCCACCACATCTTAGCATCCCCTTCACGCGTTCTCATTTCCACTCGTGCTCATGTAACTTGTTGATCTGAGAGCCTGTTGATTAAGCTCCTGTTGTGACTTGGATCAAACCATAAAAGTTCCACCTGTGCACGTGTGTATGTGTGCGTGTGGCGGCAGGTGGGGAGGGGGGGTTGCTGAACTTTATAGAGCTTATGCATGTGTAAATGCTCACAGAATGTTCCACACCAAAATAGATGTGAATGTAAAGACAGGGCCGTGAGACTATGAGTGGATGGGCCATGTTTTGAATGGGTGAAGGGGTGTGACATGGAACCCTCTGGCCTTTGCTCTAAGCACACGGCTGTGTCCAATGTCAGAGAAATCTGGGGTAGTGTGATGTTGAAGGTCAAGGCAACAGATCACATAGAATATCAAGTTAAAACATTTGATTTGGATTTGATTGATGAGGTGGGCTATGCGGATCTGTTTCTTGGCCTTGCTTAATATAAGACAGCATGTGAAGAAGACTTGTGAAGAACTTAATATTTTGAAGAGAAGTGGGCAAAAATCTGAAACCTGCAGGACAAAGTGTAACTTTGAAAACAAATTAAATTAATTTAAAAAAAACATGTAGCAACAACGGACTGCCCATGAACAGGATACAGAAAATGACCATCAGCATCAGAAACAAAAGGGTGACTGAGGAAGCTGATGAGGAAGTGGCTTCAGACGTGGTCGATTGAAGTAGAGACCTTATGGAGAAACTGCGTTTACTGGATTTTAAAATTGTTATATACAGATTAGATGGAGAAAAAATGAAGAAGGAAAGCAAAATACACACATCACTAATGATAACAATGACCTTAACCCCAAATACAATAAGATAAAAGAGTTCAAATAAACTACTAACTATCAGCACAAGTAAATAATTAAACTATTAAACAGATCAGAAACTCAAAACCACAGGGATGGTGACTTTTGTCTGGTAAAACAGGGTGAGAGCTGGGATACACCTTGGACAGATCATACATACAGAGAGAACATGCAAACTCCACACATATCAAACTGAGGGGCCTCTGGGCAAACCTGATGTGCAGTTCTGTTCTGGGCACCATTTCAGAGCCTTGATTCAAATGTGCTCTGTCAGTCGGATGAAAGTAAAAATAACTTCCAAAATGGGGAAATGAAAAGCTGCTTTTGGTCAAATCTGACTTCCGAGTAATGAGACACATTTGAAAAAAGCAGTAAAGTATAAAGTTGTCTCTTTATGAACAAACTAAAAATGACTCTTCACAGTGTACCACGTCTCATTTTTTCTACCTGTGGCCTACTGTAATGACTTGCATGTTGTATAAACTTGTTTCTTTCGCGAGTTCTTCCGTGTTCCTCTCATGTTTAAAGAGGCCCTGCAGACGGGTTTGCCTTAGCACAGTTGCATCCTGTCATGCCAGCGATTGTGTAACAGAAAAAAAAACAGCTCCTCTTACCATCCAAAACAAAGTTTCACTGTTATGTTTCCATCATCATATTGGCATCAGCCTTTGGTTTTACATAAGAAATCTCAAGGTTATTAGCTTCAGCTGTTTTTCGTAAC